GGAAGAGAGAAGTGACACAAAATGAGACTCGGTATTCACCGCTCGCCAGGCCTTTGGTTTCACGTCGGCTCTGACTACCTGGTGCCTCTTTTCCGATCCATGCGGGCTTGCCAATGTCCCTTTAAGCCAAGGCGAAAACTCTAGAAACAAATCCAGCACTTCTCTGATAAAACCCTTCGCATCCCCCCCAGCTGCTGGTTACCCCCCAGGAAGGGGAGAATGATCCCCCCACTGGTTACCCCCCAGGAAGGGGGGAATGATCACCCCCATAACCATCCCATTTGTTGCCTCTGAGGGCACTGTTCACATTACCACCCACGCCGCATCTCCCTCCTCCCCACAAGTACTTCTCCGCCAACACTCCAGACTGTTGAACCCCCCCAGACCCCAGCGCTTGGGACCACTTCCCCCTCCACAGACCACGACAACCCCCCCACCCGCCGGTTAAACCCCACAGCCAATACAGTTCCCGGCCAGGAGACGTAGCAGAGTCCCCTTGCTGCACGATAGCTCCTTCCCTTGCAAGTCCGTTCTCATCCCGTAGAGGAGGAGGCTGTTATTTTTATCATAAGGTGTCTGTCAAGAACGGGTCTGTCACAAATCTCTTCTCTACGGATCGCAACGGGGACGCCTGCGACATCAACGTTCGTGTTTAAGGGAACGTTTAAAAGTTGTTGGGTTTTGTTTTTTTTAAGTCTCCAGGGGAGAAAAGAGTCTGAATAGAAATAACCCACAAACAAACCAAGCCCTCCCCCCACGAGGCACAGCCAGAGACCCCAAAGAGGGTGTGCGGGGGGAATTCAAGCAGCCAAGACACCCCATTCTGCTCGGCAGGATGGATCAGGAGCGGTGGCTTCTCGATGGCACGCCTAGGGAATCTGCTTCTCCTCTGAGTGCCTTTCAGAGGAGCGCGGGCTACCGGAGCGATGCCGGGACCCCTCCAGGCAGGGACACGCTCACTCTCTGGCTTGGCTTTTAGGGCATCACCCCTTCTGGGCCTGGACTGGTCACCCCACAGCGCGCTACAGCGTGGCAGAATCCAGGCAGCCCCTCTTACTCTACTTTCTAGGGCAAGGCATCTGAAAGAAAGGCTACAAACAGCAGGTTGGAGCCCCCCGCCTGCCCTCCCAGCCCCCACAAGGGGGGAAAACACCGCACCTGGAACCCAGAGCGCAGCAGGGCGGGGACCAAGGGTCCGAGGACTGGGGAGGGGATGGGACCGTCTCTGGTCACACGGGCGCGATGGCATAAAGCCACCCGTATGCACCCAGAGGAGAAAAAGGCTCGAAGTTACCAACCAAGACGCTCGTGGATTTAATGGGGAGAAGGGGCGAGAGGGGAGGGCGGAGGGGCTAATTCCAAGTCCGGGCGCCGGGTGGGACAGGGGAAAAGAGGGGGAGGAGAGGAGACTAAAGGAGCAATTGTCCCACCTGGAAGAGAGAACAGCACAGAAGTTGGCCCCTTCCCTCCTTCCCTCCCAGCTCCACCCTGGGGTGCAAAAGCAGCCTGGCATGGAAATGCACCTGGCTCTTGGAAAGGGCTGAGACCCCCCCAACCCTGACCCTAGGGCCACAGCACCAAGCTGCCCCTGCCCCCAGCCCCATGCCAGGACAACCTAGAGCCACCCCCACCCCAGAGCCCCCGAGATGCCACTTGCTCAGCCGGGCTCCCTGCCCACGGCCTGGGCACCCTCCATACGCACGTCCCCACGGGCTCCTCCTCTCTGGCCGCAGCAGCGACGGCTCCCTCCTTCCCCCCGCCTCCGGCTGCTTCCCCATCCCTGCTTCTTTCCCCCCCCTCTCGTTGCTTTTATCCCCCCCCCCC